GAAATCGCTCGCTCGCTGCGCTCGCTCGCTCGTAATCACCATTAACCCGCGCCCTGCTGGGGGGGGGGGGGGTGTTTGAACACCCCCCCTTGTGGTTTTTCGCGAATATCTCAAAAACGGCGGCGCGGAGCGCCGCCGTTTTTGGTACACCTTATCATACATCAATTCTACACATGTTGTGAAAATTTCAGACCAAGGTCATTCAAGGTCAGGTCACCAGGTCACTTGAAGTGACCTCACCTCATAAAAAATTTCAATGTCTGTCATAGCTACACCGAGTGACCGATCGCTTTGAAACTTTCAGCGATTGCTAAGAGCAATAGCATGTACAAAATGTATATTTCAGAATTTTGATATCGATGACCTAAGGTCAGGTCAATTTTGCGACCTCCCCATTATAAGTCAATGGGAGAAAATTGAAATGCGCCTCTTTTGGATGAAAGACATTATAAACACTCCCAAACAACGAATTACAAGTGGTTTAGACACACTGAACTTGAAAATGGTGTCCGTGACCCTTGTTTATGCCCTGAGGTCATCTTAGGTCACGAATGGTATCTAACAGTTTTTCGCAAATAACTTTTGATAGAGGCATGCTAGAGCGATGAAAACGCCTTAGATGTGTTCAGCTCGACGATACGGATCGACTGATATGCAACATGACCCTTTCCGGTCAGGTCATGACCTTGACCTGAGGTCAAATTTTCAAGTTGACCTTTCAAGGTCAAGTTATAATTCATTCGATGCGTCTTGACGAGAGGAACACGATGCTGGTAAAAGTAAGCTCGTACAAGGCTTGGGTCAAAAGTTATTGCAGAAAAACTGTTTTCGAAAAAATCGGCTATTTTTGCAGTTTTTGTCCCCTGCAGGCAAAACCGTTGACGTTAGGTCAAATCTGAGAGAATTACTTAGAAAGGGCGTTAATAGGGCTATCGAATGCGCTTTTCCGCGGCGCTATAGCTCTATTGGTTCCCGAGTTATGCGTTGGCTTCTTGGAAATTTTCGACATTCGACCTGGAAATCGGCGAAATTTTGCCTTCAATGACCTCTGGTGACCTGACCTTTGACCTGACCAAAAAATTGACCGAAATGATTTCGTCATTATTTTTTACGCTCTTTCGAACGCCGCCTTCCGCGTATCGCTACGTGGCCCAGGAGCCGAGTTACAAGGGGGGGTGTTCAAACACCCCCCCCCCCAGCAGGGCGTGGAAATCCAGGACCCCCAGCAGGGCGCGGGTTAACCCGCGCACCGACGGGGGTCTGCGCCAACTTAGTACCGACGGGGGGGGGCGGATGACCGCCCCCCCCCCTGAGATCTCGAGAACGAAGCAAGATAGCGACAAGCGGTAAACGGCATCGGATACGCACGGTCAAGATCTACAATTTTTACTAAGGTCATTTTCAGGTCCGAGGCCTCTTGCACCAAAATCCTCTTGCACCAATGCTTGGATTATTTTGCATCGTATACCCAGTCCAAGTCTCAAATGTAACAATTTGCATGCAAAATTTAGCAAGCACATATAGGATTATGTATTGGGCTATTGCAAACAAATTTACCACCGTTAGATTATATTATTCTGAAACCGGTTTTTCGATTTTACCTAGCTAGGTAGTTTGGTGCAAGAGGCCTCAGGTCAAAGATGACGTCACAGGGGTCGAAAAAGTCAAAATGGCGGCGCTAAATATGGAGAGAGTTTTTCTCGAATAACTTTCGAATTAGTCAAGATAGGAACAAACTAAGGGCATCATCGTGATCCTCTCGTCAATCCGCATCGAATGATATATATGTTGACCTCGAAAGGTCAAGGTCAAAGGTTGACCTCAGGTCACGTGACCTTGAGGTCATCATGTATATCATTCGATGCGTCTTGACGAGCTGAACACAATGAGACCATCCACGCGTCTGTATCTTGTTCCTGTACGGAGTTATTGGCCAAAAACCTTTGGTGACCTTTGATGACGTCACATGACCTCACAGCTGCCCAACAGCAAAACAGACCTCAAGGTAGTGAAGGTTGATCGTATATGAAGTCATGTATGGTATATGGGGCCATTCCGACCCGTTTTAGTGGTAAAAACAGGGAGTTGATTTTTCCCCCATTGACTTATAATGGGGAGGTCGCGAAATTGACCTGACCTTAGGTCACCGATATCAAAATTCCGAGATATACAAATTGTAGCTACTAATGACCTAATAACATCCTGCGACTTTCAAAGGCCTCCGACATCTACTGTAGCTCTGGCACGGTGACAAAGTTGCAAAAAAGTGACTTGAGGTTGGGTCATTCAAAGTGACCTGGTGACCTGACCTTGAAAGGTAGGAGGTTCAAACTTGCACACCATGTGTAAAATTGATAAGGGAATAGTCATACCAAATTTCGCGGCGCTACGCGCCGCGGTTTTCCCGCTATTCGCGAAAAACCTCAGGGGGGGCGGATATCCGCCCCCCCCCCGTCGGTGCGCGGGTTAAAACATAACTGAATAGGTAGAAAAGAGAATTCGATATATACTTTCCTTGTTTTTAAGAATTCCGGAATTAGATACCCGAGGGAGCAACGAGGGAGCAAGTTGCCACGCTGATTTGATACCTCATAGTCGAAAGGTGGGCTACTATAGTTCGTTTTTTTTTTCAAAAGGACTCTGGCTCCAAGTATGTTTTTTGAAAAAGCACGCGTTTTAGCGAGCAAAACGAGCAAAAACTGAACCTGAGAAACTCGAACGTCGCCTTATTTTAACATGTGAAGTATTCCCAATAATCTCCATACGTGCGTTTTGGAACCAGATATGAGAACAGTGGTGACGTCATGCTGTCGAACTTGTATTGCAATGTAACGTATAACTATCATGGACGAAACCGCTTACTCGATTATAACCTCGGCAACAGTGAAAAACGAAGTTTCCCCCAAATTATCGAAACTGTCCCATCGTGCGGACATTGGGTGCCTACTGCCACCAGTGACGTCATCATAGTATGCTAATTTTTCAAGACACAAATTCCGGGTACTTACCGTGCACAATTTGAAATCGAATATTTTTTCGGTAAGAAATTCTTGGCCAGACGCTGAAGCTGCCAAAACTCACGTGAGAGCTTCGATAAGGAACTTGGAGCCAGCGTCCTTTTGAAAAAAAAAACGAACTATAGAACCGAAAATTGCTGTGTTTGTAAATAAACCAGTAAAACGCCTTTTGGGCGAAGAACGAGCGAGCGAGATAGTGAGCCTTGCACGTGCGGAAGGGCGAGAGGGTACTTCCAACGGGCTTGTGCAAAGCACCCTTCTAACCGGTCGCTAGCGGTGTGCCAAATTTGAACGCAATCGGCCCAGCCGTTCCTGAGATCTGGAAGCGGCATTCTGCACGTGCGCACGTGCAAACGGGGTCCAAAACTGACTTTTGCACGGCACCCTACTAACCGGTCCCCAATCGTGTACCAAATTTGAGCGCAATCGGCCCAGCCGTTCTCGAGATCTGGAAACGCCCCCTGCACGTGCGCACGTGCAGTAGCACCCTAACCGCAACACATGGAAATGCATTGCCTGGTGGGTGTCTACCTGTATGCCAAGTTTCAGCGAAATCGCCCTGCAGTAATTACCGAGTTATTGAAATGGGAACAAATTTGGCACCTCTTCTTTTTGCATTTTGCACGTGCAGTGGGGGTCACTCACATAGATCAAGAGTATCCGACCTTTGGTAGAAGGGATGCAGCTACCCTACAAAAATTACCGCAAGACAATCGCCCAAGCGGCTGCTGAGATATGGGCCTCTCAAAATCACTACTTTTGCAAAACAGCTTGAACACCCTTGACTTTTCACGTGGCACGTGCCACGACGGTCACTGAGATGTATCAAAAGTAGTCAATTACGGGGTAAAAGGGATGGGGCTACCCAGCAAAAAAGACCGCAGGCCAATCGGTCCAGCGGTTGCTGAGATATAAGCCTCTCAAAAGCGTTACAGGCCGGGCCGGGCCGGGCCGCTCATACTGAGACTTTTCCGTTATATTGAAAAGACTCACTTCGCTCGCTGCGCTCGCTCGCTCGTAATAAGTGATTTGAGGGCAAAGAATGCCCGGATTTAAACTTCTAAAATTATTTTGAACATAACATATTTCAGTTTGGGGGATGTTAAGGCCCCAAAGAGTAGGTACTTTTCAGGTATCAAATAGGTTCCTCTGCGAAAGTTCCGTCGTGAAAACGGCTCATGTGAAGCAAATTTCAACTTTCTAGCATGATTTTTGATCCACTATTTGCAAGAAATACCTTCAGCATGTATATGGCATGGTGACGTCATAGGTATTTTCGTTAGTTTTAGGCACTTCCGAGCGTCGCACGTGAAAACCAATGGTAGCATTTGATTTCTGTGGTAATTCTGGTGTAGAAAAGTGCATTTGTATATCAAAAATTAAAAAAGTAAATTGGTAGTAGGAAGAGACCTTCCGTGACCTGACCTGACCTGACCTAACTGACTTCCAATTAATTGATATTGTAGCTGAGATGTGAAGTCAAAGTACCTATTACGATCAAATTCAGCGTAAAATATAGCCCTAAAGACATTTTACAACTCTTGTCAATAGTCTCAAAGTGATCATTTGTGACCTGACCTTGCCTTGACCTGTACTTAATAAGACACGTATCATAAGGTATCTAAACGAAGTCTTTGACTTTGAGGTCAATTTGGCTGAGTTTCGAGCAGGAGCTATATATGCCGAGGTCCGTAAGCCTCATCATGCAGAAACCCCGGAATTTGACATTTGACCTGACCTTGACCCGAAAGTTAACCCGAACCTAAAAATCTTAGGAGCGTTTTGGGAAGGCCTCGTAGAGAGCTTTCGAATGCCGCCTCGCGGGGCTCGATACGACCATTGGTTCTCGAGATAGCGGGGGGGGGGGGGGGTCCGACCCCTTCCTTCAGGCGGTCGTGGGTACGGAAATAGCCCAGGCGGTGCCGGGATATTAGCCCTGACCCTTCATATAGCCTCTGACCTGATACATAGCCTCTGACCTACCGTGAAGTCTACTGTAGCTCCGTTGGCCCAGACGTAGCGATCCTCTGTCTCAATGTCATTGAACCCAATCCAGATGTCTTCACCAAACATGCCGGCCACGAAGTCTAGCTCGCCGCTGCAAACAGCGAACAAAACAGTGAACAAAGCGGAAGCAGTCTGGGCAGGCGCGGTGGACGTAAACAGTTCCCGGAGTCACGTTTAGGTAAAAGGAGTGTTGTAAATAGTGTAGACGACATCTAGCGGCAGGCATTGAATTAGCTTGGGAGACATCTAGCGGCAGGCATTGAATTAGCATTCATTCGAGTTCGTGTCGTGGGGCGGTGCGGTCGCCGGTCACGACCAAGGTCACGACAGTGTCGAGGCCTTGGTGTCGAGCATTCTTTCGTCGTTGGTTTTCGTCGGTCCCTCGGGACGAGCTGAGCAATAACGCACCTATCGTTCGTCGTTATCTGTATTGGACGTCAAACCCAATACACTCGGGAAGTCGAAATTATGTGTGAAGTTGAAGTGGCGGTGGTTGTGCGCCGGTGATGTTCCGCAGAAAATATAAGCACACGTAGTGAAGCAAGCTGAGTGAGCCGGTCGTTTCGTTACATTGGTGCCGAAACCCGGGACAAGACCGGGATTGATTTACTCAGTGTGCTATTCGAGTGTGCATTTCAATTTATTTTCATTTGTCTTGAGATATGGCAGATCTTGAGAAAGCGAAGAAGAGACGAGTAGCTGCCAAGGCCTGGGTAAGCCGAACAAAGAACAAGCTCTCTAAGGTTCTGGATGACTGTGAACGGGATGTTGATGTTACAAGGATACAGACTGTTCGCAGTGAACTTAAGAGCAGATTGGAGGAACTGGACAGCATCCAGTTGGAGTTGGAAGTTCTGTTCGAATCTGAAGATGACATGCTGGAAGATATAATCAAGGCTGGATTGTTCAGAGATGAAGTGACAGAAGCCATTGAAAGAGCTGACAAGATGGTAGCTGCTGCTGTCTCTGATGGCAGACAAGGTAACGTGCCTGAAGCTGTAAGCTCAGCATCTGTGTCAGCTTTGAGCCCTCAGCTCCCGAGACTAGATCTCCCTAGCTTTGGTGGGGATGTACTTAAATAGATTCCCTTCTGGGAGAGATTCGGTGCAGCTGTTGGTGAACGAGAGTTGCCAGACGTGGTCAAGTTTGAGTACCTACAGTCATGCTTGCAAGGTGAGGCGGCAAGATGTGTTGCTGGTCTGTCGCTCACATCAGCGAACTATCAAGTAGCATGCGATTTATTGTCAAAGAGGTTTGGGAAGCCTGAAGTGATAATCTTCAATCATGTTCAGCAGCTCCTAGCTATCACTGGTCCTCTGTCTTCAACATCCCAGTCCCTTCGCTCCCTCATTGACAATGTCCTGATCCATGTGCGTAGCCTGTCAGCCCTTGAGGTCACTGGTGATAAGTACGGCATTTTCTTGGTTCCTATGATCCTCAGTAAACTGAACCCTGACTTGAGGATGGAGTGGGCCCGTCTTGGCCCAGGCAAAGAAGCGGACCTCAATGCACTGATGGACTTCCTGGCAGCAGAAGTTGAGAGGAGGGAAAGGTCCGGAGCATTCACCAAGCTGCTGGGAACAACTCAGCCGGCCCGGGACGTCCGAGCAGCTGGCAGGAGCCAGCCTCACAAGGATGTTCGACCGGCTGGGAGGAACCAGCCTCTCAGGGACTGTGTGAGACAGGCGCGGACTCCATCTGGAGCCGCTCTGACTGCATCATCAGGGGTATGTATATTTTGTGGAAAGGCACACAGGTCAGTGGAGTGTCATGAGCTCCTCAAGCTCTCAGTTTCGCAGAGACACGACTTGATTAAGCAGTCTGGGGCATGTTTTCGCTGCTTGTCCGGGTCACACCGGGCGAGGGAGTGCCAGTCAAAGTGTGAGCTGTGTGGCAGTGGCCACCACAAGCTGTGTTGTTTTTCGAAGGGGAAGACTAGTCAGGGGAGGGTAGCAGAGCCCCCTGGTGTGTCAAGCTCTACTAGTCCTAAGGTTTCAGAGACTCGTGTGTCTCTGTCGTGTAACAGTGGTGATGATCAATGTGTTGTGCTCCCCACTGCTCGAGTGTTGGTACATGGAGCGCATGGCTCAGTCCTAGCGACTTTGTTGTTCGACACAGGGTCAGACAGAACTTATGTGTCGGAAGAGTTGGTGAAAAAGGTGGGCGCTACATGGCTCGGCTCTGAGTCTGTCTCGTATGCAGCCTTTGGTGGGGGAAAATCCACTTGTGAGAGGGCTGTGAGGGGGCTCCGTGTGAGTGGAGCCAACTTGTCCAAACCTGTGGAGTGTTTGTTGACTGCTGTGGAAGTACCAGTGATCTGTTCCCCCCTGCAGCGACCCAGAGTCCCTCGCACAGCCCTTGCCTCTTTCGTAGGGGTTGAGTTGGCTGACAGCTACAGTGAGAACCGCGAGATGTCTGTGGATATATTGGTCGGTCTTGACGTGTACTGGAGTCTTGTACAGCAGGGCTTCATTCGATGTTCAGAAGGGTCACTAGTAGCCCAGAAGACCTCACTGGGTTGGATCGTGTCTGGCGTGACCTCCTCTGGACTCTGTGCTGCAGGCAGTACATCGTGTCAGTTGCTGACTCTTGGTGATCTGCACGAGGACGCCGTCCGTAACCTATGGAGTCTGGAAGGCGTCGGCATCCGTTCTGATGAGGAGCCGGCCAGTTCGAAGGTGTTGGAGGATTTCGAGTCCTCAGTCAGCTTCAGCGATGGCAGGTATGAGGTCGCACTGCCTTGGAAGCAGGGTGACCATGCCCCTGAGCTTCAGAGTAACCTTCCGGTCGCGAGGTGCCGCCTCAGGAGTTTGACTCGAAAACTTGATAGAGATCCCGACCTTCGCTCTAAATATGATGCTGCGCTGAGTGAATTGGAGGAGTCGGGGATGATCGAGGAGGTCCCGAGTGAGGAGATTGTGGTCTCTCACCCCACATTCTATCTCCCTCACCATCCGGTGGTGAAGGAGAGCAGTGAAACCACGAAGGTCCGCCCCGTGTTTGACGCTTCCGTGTGTGGTCCGAACGGTGTCAGTCTAAATGACTGCTTGGAGGTGGGTCCCTGTTTGATGCCTAACCTGGTCGATGTCCTACTAAGGTTTCGGCGCTGGCGTTATGCCGTGACAGCGGATATCGTCAAAGCCTTTCTCCAGATTGGACTTCGGAGAGAAGATCGAGACGTGCATCGCTTCATCTGGCTCTGCGGCGGCAGAGAACGGGTGATGAGAGTGACCAGGGTCAGCTTCGGGACGTGCAGCAGTCCCTTTCTTCTGAACGCGACCCTCCGTCATCACCTCGCCAGGTATGACGCGTCACGTGCGGTGACCGAGATGCAGTCTAACTTCTATGTCGATGACTTTCTGTCAGGGGCGGACTCTGAGGAGGAAGCCCGTAGTCTCCTTTCGGAGGCTCAGTCTGTCGTGGCTGATGCTGGCATGTGTCTGGCCAAATGCAGGTCAAACAGCACTCTGCTGTTCCACAATGCTATTGTCTGGTGGGGAAGGCCAGAGCATCAAAGTGCTGGGGCTAAGTTGGATTCCGAAGGAGGACGTGTTCATGTTCGAAGGTGTTTCGATTCCTGACGATGTCGTGCCGACCAAACGTGTAGTATTGAGCTTTATGGCCAGACTTTTCGACCCTCTGGGGTTTCTAACTCCATTCACCATGGTGGCTAAGTGCCTATTCCAAACATTGTGGCAGCAGGGGCTGCAGTGGGATGAGTTGTTGCCCGCTGAAAGTCACTCAGTCTTCACCAGATGGTTAGATGGTCTGGAGACGCTAAAGCAGTTCAAAGTCCCTCGCTCCTACTCAGTCGAGGGCTGGAGTGGCGCAGAGGCGGGGGCGGAGCTACATGCTTTCGGCGACGCCTCCCCGAGTGGGTACGGTGCTACAGTGTACCTCCGTTCCCCGCTGTCAGATGGCTCGCACAGTGTCACACTGGTGATGGCGAAGGGCAGAGTGGCGCCGGTGAAGACAGTGAGTCTGCCGAGATTAGAGCTGTTAGGCAGCCTTCTCGCCGCTCGACTGGTGACTCATGTCCGCCGCGCTCTGTGTCTGCCAGACAGCACAGTTTGTAAGTGCTGGACTGATTCCATGGTCGCCCTTGGGTGGATACGAGGTGATCCCCAAAGATGGAAGCAGTTCGTGCGTAACCGAGTGATCGAGATTCACAGTTTGACCAGCCCTGCTGACTGGGAGTTCGTGCCAGGGGAGTACAATCCGTCAGACCTGACGACTCGAGGCGTATCGGCGGAGCAGCTGCTAGCGTCTGATGTGTGGCTGGTGGGGCCTGCCTGGCTGTCGGAGACCGCGGGTCACCCCCCACGACAGATCGAGTCGAAGGTGAGCGAGACTCCGGTCGACGAGGCCGTTCTGGTATCGGCTCCGGGTCCGGCCGAGTCTCCTCGGGAGACCGCGGCGTGTGACAGCGCCGGCGGCGCGGGAGGCGCGCGCTGTGTCGGCGAGGCGCTGCTGCCCTCCGGTGAATCTTCGCCGGACAGAGATCTCGTTTCATCTGATTTTGTCAGGGGAGAAATGTTGAAAGAGTCTGAGGAAATCAGCAATGTTAGTTTGTTTGTGACTCAACCTGAGCGCGTCTTTCCGGTAGAGCGCTGGGGAAAGTTTTCAAAGGCGGTGCGAGTCGTAGCATGGGTGCGTCGCTTCATTGAAAACTGTCGCTGCCCTCAGCAGAGTTCCAGGCGTCATGAGTTGTCCTCCATCGAGTTGGCTGAGGCCAAGCGCGAGCTGCTGCGTCAGGAGCAGCGGAGCGAGTTTCACGAGGAGTGGACCGCTCTGGAGACGGGTAAGAAAGTGTCAAAGGGCTCCAGCATTTTCCGATTGGCCCCCTTCGTGGGTGACGATGGTCTGCTGAGAATGGGCAGTAGGCTACAAATGTCTGACCTACAGTACGAGGAGAAGTACCCAGTGTTGTTACCCAGAGGCCACTTGTCCGAGCCTTTGGTCAGAGAACAACACCTCCTACTGAGTCATGCTGGTGTGAACACGATGGTAGCCACGCTCAGAGGGGCCTATTTTATATTGGGTCTGCGCTGCCTCGCAAAACGTGTGAAACGTGGCTGTGTGTCGTGCCAG